TGCGCGCACACACACACACACACACACGTAGCACACACATATACCAGAGAGAGAGAGGAAAGTAAACTTTGAGATCATGAATGGACTGTTCATATTCATGCATGACAAGTGCAGTAGGCCCCACTGGTGTGGGACAGTGCAGTCCACGTCCTATGACCAGGGGCGGGGCGGGGCGGGGCGGGGCGGGGCGGGGCGGGGCGGGGCGGGGTGTATTCTTATTGCTTGTTTTATACAGCTACCGCTTCCAAATAAGGGTGCAGCTAGGAATTGTCTCTCTAAAATTATAGTTGGGAGTTATCTTTAAAAGGGATTTGGAAACAAAAGGTCATAATAGAATTCGTGTGTGTGTGTGTGTGTGTGTTCATGTGTTTGTGTGAGTGCAAATGGGTGTGTCAGTATGTGTATGTATGTGTGTGTGTGTGAAAGTACACATGGGTGTCCATGTGTGAGTGAGAGTGCATGTGTTAGTATGTGTGTGCACATGTGTCTCTGTGTGTATGTGTGTGAGTGCGTGCGTGTGTGTGTGAGTGCGTGTGTGTGTGAGTGCGTGTGTGTGTATGTGTGTGAGTGTGTGTGCGAGTGCACGTACACACATGTGGGAGGGGTAGAGACTGGGTTTCATTTTCTATCATTCTCCACCTTGGTTGTTTCTAGGACAAAAGTCAAGGTCTTGTTGAGCAGAAGCAACAGCTTAGCCCTAAAAGTGGCCGTTTGCCACCAAGTCTGATGGCCTGCGTTTGATCCGTTTGATCCTCAGGACGGGTGCAGTGGAAGGAAAGACTGACTCCCAAAAGAAAGCTGTCTCCTAACCCCCACAGGCATGCCGTGGTGTGTGCACACCCATACCCGCTGGAGCACACTAATTAATTAATGTGAATGTTTCAGGAAAGGCCACAGGGCAGTCTTCCATGCCCTGTCCTCTTTTAAATACTTCCTGGACTGTTGAAGCTTCCTCAGTACCCAGCATTCCTTTCTGTGAACAGAGCCTCCTTTTCATACCTGCTTGTGTCTTTGGTAATGACAAGTAAAGAGAGATGGGGGGAAAGAGAGAGAGAGAGAGAGAGAGAGAGAGAGAGAGAGAGAGAGAGAGAGAGAGAAATGAAGGGACAGCATTCTCCTGAGAATACAGAGTCTGTGACAAAGGCCAGCTGTCAGGCCTGAGAACCCCAGCCCACCACACATCGAGGCTCCAGCACACTATAGAGCCTTCTTCTGTTCACTGTTCTCTAAGTCTTTGGGTTTTTTTTTTTTTTTTTTTTACAAGGTCTCCTGTGCCCGGGGCTGGCCTCAAGCTCACCATGTAATCAAGGATAGCTTCCATTGAACTCCTGATCCTCTGCCTGCCTCCAATGCTGGGGAGACAGGCTGGACAGGCTCCTGTCACTATACCCGGTTTATGCAGTGCCGGGGATCGAGCAGAGGCTTTGTGCAGGGTAGGAAGTTTCTACCAGGGGGATTCCACTCCCAGCCTGCTTCCTTGCTTTCTGACTCTGTTCGCCCTGTAAAGGCCAGAGAGAAGCTTCCAGGGGGCAGGACTTAGACCCACCCAGACCGCCTGAAACACACTACCGGAGCGCCACGGGCCGAGGCTGGAAAAGCCAACAGGCTTTGATCTGATCCAAAGGCTCCCAAGGTGCATACTTTAAAAGTCACAGGAGTCGGCAGGTTTGGAAGCCTGCCTGCTCTTCAGAAAGACCTGTGACCTCCATTACTCTGCCCCGTCACCATTAAAAAGAAATAAAGGTGGGTGAGAGGCTGCCAAGTTCCCATGGAGACCATGCCCAGTGGGGATGAAAGGCAGAGTCAGTTGCAGAGGGAAGATGTATCTATGCTTTCTCACCTACTTCCTGTGGGGATCATTCTAGAATCAAAGCTGTCCAGAGTAGTACAAGCTCTCAGTGGGGAAAGCAAACAGAAAAAGTATAGGTGTGCTTGATAAATATGTATTTGTGTGTATGTGTGTATGCATACATGTCTACATGCATGTGTGTGTGCAGTCATTTGTGTATGTGAGTATAAATGTGTGCATGTGTACATGTCTATATGTGTGTGAATTCATTTGTATATACGTGTACATTTATTTGTATATGTGTGAATATGTGTGCATTCATTTGTATATGTGTGTACATTTATTTGTATATGTGTGTATATGCATGTGCATTCATTTGTATATGTGTATGTATTCATGAGTGTGAACAAATCCCACAAAAGCAACCCTGATTCTTTTACCACACCACATTTCCAATATATTCTCCTCTAAGTCCATCAACTTCTTCTTTCCAATTCTGGTCACAGCCCATTAAATTGATATCACCATCTACTAATGGCTCATAACCTCAGACTTAAAAGCATGGACATATCCCAAGCTCTTTGGTCAACCAACAGGAGAGCTGAGTCTCCCCAGGGCCAAAGCCAAGATCTCCAGGCTACTCCCTGGTGTAAGTCAAGACCAGCTGGGAACATGCTGAGTGTGGGCTGCTGTTACCCACCCTGTCTCATTGTTAGAGCTCAGTGACCACAATCTCTCTCTTCACTGCTCCCTTGAGGTGACTCTTGGGGTCCCTGGAGGTAGCCAGGGACCCGTCTCCTTAGTGAAGTACTGATCTCACTGACCCAGACAGAAGACCACCAAGCTTAGCCCTAGATCCTGCTGTGTGTGGAATTCCAGTACCTCTGAAGGCGGTGGCTGAGACCTTGAGGAAGGGGTGGCATGTGTGTGTGTGTGTGTGTGTGTGTGTGTGTGTGTGTGTGTGTGTAAACAAAGTCAAGCTCTCTCAGAGAGAAGCTGCCCTCGAAAACACAAAAGGCTAGCTTCTCACATGCAGATAAAATGCCATAGGCTGAGGCTGGAGAGATGGCTCAGCAGTTAAGAGCACTGGCTGCTCTTCCAGAGGTTCTGAGTTCAATTCCCAACACACACATGGCGGCTCACAACCAACTGTAGTGGGGTCCAATGGCCTCTCTGGGCCTAAAGGCATACATGTACAAAGAGCACTCACAAACATAAAATAAATAAGACTTTTTTTTAATGCCATAGGTCTCCTAGGGTCTCTACTCCTAGACAAAGAGCTACAGATAATGAGGGGACCCTGAGAGCAGAAGCAGCCTTCCCCAGAGAAGATCACCAATCCGTTATCCAATACCAGGTGCTCAGCTCTGAAAACTTAAACGTACAAGTAACATTGTATGAACTCCGCAAGCTATATATATATGTTTAGATGTGTGTGTGTGTGTTGTGTGCGTGTGTGCGTGCGTGTGCCGTGAACTTAGGACAGAGCAAAAGGAGGAGGGATACATGGGAGAGTTGGAGGGAGAAAATGCTGTAATTACATTTTAATTTCAAAATCTAAAAGATATTTCTTTGAAAATGCCACAGGAGCAACTCTGCAGGCTGATGAGTGGCAGTCACGTCAAGGTTCACACCGTGACGGTGAGAGGCAGACCCCAGAACCCTCAGCACTTTCCTTCTTGGAAGTTTCGCTACCAGCCTTCCTGGGAGTCTCTCCCAGCTCCTCTCCTCAGGTCTCCAGAGCCCAGTCTCTGTGGATCGCATGAAACCACGAACATCAAATCTAATTCTGACCAGAAAAACCTCTTCCAATTGCTTCACCGTCTAAGGGACCAGGTGATTCTGTCTCCAAGGTAGGGATCCCAGCTGCTGGAACAGCCTTCATACGATCACACCCTCCCCTCCACTGCACCCAGAAGGGAGGAGACCTCCCAACCAGGGCTTAAGCCAAGGCCAGATGGAAGCTGTTTTTTATAGATAAAGTTTTACTGGAGCATGGCCATGCACATTTGCTTACCTGATGTGGACAAGCTGTTTTGGTTGTTGAGCAACAACACAAACCCATGCAGCTGGCACAGCCAGAAACATTTACTGTATTTACCGTCTGGCCCTTCACAGTCCGTGAACTCGTGGACGACAGCGCCCTAACTCTCTTGTGTGTGGAAAAGTGAACTTAAGATCAAAATTAACTGTTTGCAGTGCTCTTTAATGTAACCTCAAAGGTGTTAAACAGCTTCACGGGTTGTGTAAGTGACACCATCAACCATCACCTGGAGAATTTTTCTCATCCCAAATTCTGTACCCATTAAACAATGGCACCGCATTTCTCTCCTGCTAACTCCAGCAGACCACTTCCTGCCTCCAGACTCAACTCCCTCCGTTATGCCATAGCAGACCTCAGAAGTGCCTCCCTCTGGCTGCTGAACACTATTCCCCTGTATGGGGAGGCCCGCCTCACTTCCCCCCACACCTGCTGAGGGACACTCAGTGGTCTCTGCCTTTCAGAGGTCATGAGTGATAGCGCTCCCTGCCTAATTCTTTGGTGTCCTCTCTGTCATGTGCCCAGCTCCCACATCTGCCAGGGGGCGTCAGCCCACTCCCCTCTGCTGGCTTTCACCCTCACCCACATGGAGCCTGGACGTCAAAGACCTCATAAAGAACAAAGAATACCTCAATAACCACACTTTACATTGATGCTATGCTGGAATGATAATTATTTTGGTCATATAGCTTATTCTTCTTAACTGGTTTTAATATACTTCAAGGCTACCATGAAACTTTTACCTATTTCTAGGGCCAGCAGGAGGGTGACCCTGCAGGGGCCAGCAAACTCCTCCTGCCTCCATCCAAAGGATAAGTATTTCTGACTCTGTGGGCCATACCCAATCCCGCCATCGTCCCCCAAAAGTACTCACAGACAACACTAAAGTGCTTTGCCCCAGCGAGTCTTATCTACTAAAACAGGACACAGCTTACATTTAGCCCCAAGCCGTGATATGCCCTACCAACACTCAGGAATATTCCAGGCTGTCATGTAAAGAATAGTTGCCAGCTCCAGAAAATTCCAGCCAACCTACTTTCTCAGAACACACGGTGCAAAGCCACCTTCCCTTGACTAGACCCACAGACACGAGATGGTTTGCTTCCGGCTTCCCCAGAGGAGCAGCTCCTGGGGTCCGGCCACCCCAGAGCACCCACTGACCCCACTCACTTGGGTGTGTTAGCCTCCTCTACACGGTTCCCGAGCTGGAACTCGTGGGATTTGCTCCTGTGCAGCGCCGTAAAGCCAGGGAGCAGATGGATAAGTTTCCGAGAGGAGGGTGGCGGCGTCCCCGGAGGCTTCAGCTTGTTTTTTCTCCTTATGGGTGGCGTGCCAGGTGGGGTCACGGTGGTGACGATATTTGGGGTGCGAGGTGGGGTGCGGACTGCGTGCCGCTGCCGGGGTGATGGAGGCAGGGAGCGGTGGCCTGATTCCAGGGGTGGCGGCGGGCATAAGCTCTGGTAGGCATCCACGGTGAGTCTGTCCACATGGGTGTACACAGGGGCCCCAGGCGTAGGGCTGGCGTGACAGAAGGGCTGGACACATTTGGACTGGACCCTGGGGCTCTGGGAGAGGTGGGTGCGGATCCACGGGCTGGACTCCGGGGGGCACGCAGGGTTGTTATCCTGCCCTGGCTCCGTGGTGGGCCACTGGATGATCCAGTCTTGTTTGGAGAGGTTCCCTCCTACGTAGGAGCAAAGCAACAGAGAGACGCGGGTAAGGAAGGGAGACGGAGCGGGCTTGCGGGTAAGGAAGGGAGACGGAGCGGGCTTGCTGTGGACAGAGACCCACCATCCTCTCTTGACCACGCGTGTGTCATATCATGTGTATTTTACCTCACAGCAGATGAGTCCCCACATCACACAGATCCTACATTACACAGAGAGAGGCAGGTAAGCCGGGAGACAGGAGGTGAGCTCACATGGGCAGAGATGGCCATCCTCGCCTTACCACATGTGTGTCACACCATGTACATCTTCCGTCACAGCTGGTTACACTCAGCACAGCGTATCATATGCACCTTACACAGTCTGCACGCCCTCTCACAGGCCATGCCACAACACTCACCTGACCACACATGCAGGCTACATTGTATGCACACAATACGGTGTGCAGCACATATCACCTGCACCCTATGTGGTATACAGATCACGTGATACGCACCTTTCAGCACACACAGCTCAGCTCATGGATACAGTGTCCATGCTACATCGGATGCACCTTCCGACATATGCATCCTACACACATGTTGCCCCCCCACACCTCAGGTTGCACACACGCACTTCCTTCATACCTCATGCCAAGTGCATTATCACCACGATGTACCTCTCACTGTGCTGATCATCTTGTATGTAGCTCACATTGTGTGTTCATACACACTTCATGCTGTGTACGCAATGCATCACACACACCTTGTGTCATATGCACACAGCTCATGCCATAGGTACTGCATCATACACACCTCATGTCATGTGTACATAACCTCATAGGGACCTCACACAACATACATGTTCTACGGTGGACATGCTGCACCACATTATATACACATCAGACCATGCCACATTAAAGTCCTATACACGTCACATGGTGTGCACCATACCCCATACACACACTGTCCATAAGCACATTATAACATAGGCATGTTCCATCAGATGCATATTAGAATTCATGCCCAATATGTCACATGCACAATACTGTGTGCTCATTATACCACAAGCACATTAGTAAACACATACGCTACAATGCAGGCACATTTATAACATCCGACCACACCACTTGGCCCTCGCAAACAAACTAAATCTCCCTGTTTGCCTCCCTGCCTTCTCCCCACTCGGCAGCCTTGCCCTCCACAGCTTTGTGGCGGCAAAGCCCACACCCTGAAGAGTTTGCAAAGCGAAGCAGTTAGGCCTTTTGTGAGTCCCAACACCCAACCATGTCAGGGTCCTTTACAAGGCTGCCCAGGGTAATGCCTGCCTATTGTCTTAGTTAGGGTTTCTGTTGCTGTGAAGAGACACCGTGACCACAGCAACTTTTATAAAGGCAAACATTTAATTGGGTGGATTTCAGTTTCAGAGGGTTAGCCCATTATCATCGTGGTGGGACATGGTGGCGTGCAGGCAGACATGGTGCTGGTGAGGTAGCCGAGACTTCTCCATCCTGAGCAGGCAGCACTAACTGAACTAGGTACTGCTGGAGCATAGGAGGCCTCCGAGAATTCTCCATCCTGAGCAGGCAGCACTAACTGAACTAGGTACTGCTGGAGCATAGGAGGCCTCCGAGAATTCTCCATCCTGAGCAGGCAGCACTAACTGAACTAGGTACTGCTGGAGCATAGGAGACCTCCGAGACTTCTCCATCCTGAGCAGGCAGCACTAACTGAACTAGGTACTGCTGGAGCATAGGAGACCTCCGAGCCCGCCCCCACAGTGACATACTTTCTCCAACAAGGCCACGCCTACTTCAACCAGGCCATACTTCCTAATAGTGGCGCTCCCTGTGAGCTTTTTGGGGGACCAATTACATTCAAACTATCACACCCATGGAACAGTCTTAATACCTGGCTCTGACACAGACACAGACTTGATGGACGAGCAGATGAGTCCCTGGAAGCCTTTTACATGGTTACTCTTTAGACATGGATGGCAGACGTCAGGGGTGGAAGGGGAGGGGATGAGAGGGAGTAGAGGCGGCTATAAAATAGCAACACAAAAGATGTATGTCGTTCATTATTTTGACAGTGGTGTGGACATGTGAGTCCGCCTGTGGGACATTAACAGGACCGAATGCATACTCACAGGCACCCTCAAACGCACACGTGTGTGCATGCACAAAATGCTGGACCCATCTGGGCAAGATCACTGGGCTGCATCCATCCATTATCAGTACCCTGGTTGTGAGTCTATCATTTAGCAAGATGGGACCATCAGCATACACTGAGTGAAGCCTTCCAGGCACCCCCTGTGATCTTTTCTCACAACTGGATGTGGATCCACAAGTACCCAATCCCAGTGACACAGTGAGTCCCTGTCCCAGATCGCCAAATCCAAAGCAAACAGCTCAGTTAAGAAACGGGAGGGTTTGGGGTGAGAGTGGGGGGTGGTGCTCTTGCCTAGGATGTTTGAGGCTCTGGGTTTGATCCCAGCACCACAGAAACAGGAAGGGGGATGGGAGGGAGGATGGAGTGAGAGGAGAGAGGGGAACTGAGGAGGCCTCCTCAGGGTGTGAATGTGAGGAATGCAGTTGTGGAATAATCTTCCTGTACACTGTGCAGACGCATCACTCTGATTGGTTTAATAAAACTAACAGCTAGGCCAATAGCTAGGTAGGATCTCTAGGCACAGAGAATGCTGGGAAGAAGACAGAATTGAGCTGAGATCATCCCTAAACAAATGAAGAGAGGAGACAAGCTTGGTGGCAGGAGGCTGAGGCATGAAGATCACAAGTTCAAGTTCAGCCTGGTCAACACAGTAAATTCCAGGTCACCTGGGATACAATCTGACAACATGTCCCAATACAGAGAGGACACAGAGGCAGAGTGAAGTTGGAGGGAGAGCCTGCTGAGATGTAGCAACAAGCCAAGAGATGCAAGGATACTAACAATCACCCACCAGATCCAGGGGAGGGAGAGGCGGAGATCAGACTCCCCGAGAGGTTGGGGTTGGAGCCTGCGCTGTGTTGCTTGAGTCCAAGCCTGGGGTCTGTGAGTGTGTGGACTTGAGCTAATAGGCTTCTCTGTTATGGCACCCACATCCCTATGAGCCTCACATGGGAAGGATCCATGTATGCTAAACACTGAGGGGGAGTCATCAAAACTGATAGATCAGGTATGCTGGCACACACCGTTAATCCCATCACAGAGGCAGGCAAGATCTCTGTAAATTCTAGGCCCTCAGGGCTACACAGACAGACCGTGTCTCAAAACCAAACAAACCCTGACACAGAGCATATCCCCAGAATCCTACTGAGGAGGTCAAGGTGGCAAATTTGGCTATGTGGCATATTTGAAGCCAACCTGAACTACCAAAGTTCCTGTCTTCTACAGGGGTGGGAACTGTGTCTGGGGAGGGAGCTGAATGGTCAAAATGGGATACTGCTGTTATGAAGGACACAAGTTCAGTTCCCAGCACCCACATGGGAGGCTCACAACCATCTGTATGTAACTCCAGCCCCAAGGGGGAACCTGACACCCTCTTCTGGCCTCAGAGGGAACCTGCACTCACGTGTACATCCCACATAGACACAGATACATAATTTAAAAAAAAAAATAACAAATAGGAAGGAAAAGAACATTTGGCAGATGGTGGCCGTTCCTAGAGTTAGGGGATCAGTTGCTGTCTTCCTGGAATTGGAGGTGTGGGGGGGGGTCACTGGCCTGTTTAATCAAGTTTTAAACAATCAAAATCCCTTAGAAGATGGAGGACTAATGCCTCCACTTTTCCCTTTTACCACACAGTATCCTGCTGCTGGGTGGGAACCCGATGTTCCTATGACTGACTGTCACTCAAAGACAGACAGACACTCCACTGGGTTCAGGGAGCACCCCCTTGAAGTGTCTCTTCAAAGTTAAAAAGATGAGAAGGAAGAAAGCCCACTACCCCCACCACCTCCCCTTCCCAGGCAAACCTGCTTCCTCTGAACACCTGGGATCTCAGAATCAGAGGTTCGGGGACGCAAGAAGCGCAGTCTCCTTTCATTACCGAAACTGCTCATCCAGCAGCATCGACTCCAAAGCACGGAGGCTTCAGACGCTTCGGGTGATGGGCTGTGTGCTATCAGCAGCCCCCCCTTGATCCTCTTTTTAATAAAGTCTAAGGGGGGGAAGGTAATTTTTCATTTTAAATAGGAAAGGTGTGGTGGCTCGGGCTCCAGGGTTATTAATCGTCACCCTTGTCTCCTGTCATTCATTTCTGGAAAAATCGTTTTATTTCAAGTCTTGAGATGGGCGGGGAGAAGGGAATAGATTTTTAAAAATGAAAGGTCTGAGGACTGATTAAAAGCATTGCAAGGCATAGGGCTCTTTTTATTTATTTATTTATTTTTCTTTTGACGTTCTCTGATAAGGGACTGGGAGTAATAAAAGGCATTCGAGAGGGAGAAAATGACTTCAGAAAGTCTAGGCAAGTGTCTGACTTCATTGTCCCTTTCCACTGGAACCACATAAGCAGGCAAATGTGTGGCTTCGGAGTCATCTGCATTTCAGAGCCAGCATCTCAGGAGCCTCAGCCCTTCAGAGGCAGCTGGGGATAGGGTGGCGACCTCATCCCCACCCCCACCATCCCAGGATTTCCAACTGGGGGCTCAGAAGTCCCCTGAATACTCCAAAGTGTTTGCTGTTTAAATCTGTAGACACAGCTTGGAAATATGTCTCCAGACTCAAGAGTAAGCTAAAGAACAGAAACGGCGGCCACTAGGATTATGAATTAAGTGGCCCTCACCCCTGATCCAAGAATCTAAAAAGCTCCAAATTCCAAAAAAAGAAAATAGAAAAAAACAATTCTGGCATCACCACGAAGCAGCAAGTGGAGAATTCCGTGGCTGACCCCTCGTGACCATCTGCGGTGCAGACATGGGCACAGTAAACATACTGTGTAAACGTCCTCCCCGGGGTTACAGAGATAAGTCAGGGGCCCCACGAGCACCAGGCCCTGTCCTCACTTGCTTTTAGTTGCTGTGGTCAACACCACA